CAGGAAGGCGCTGTCATGCTCAGCCCTAGTCCAGGAAGCGAGCGCAGGAGCTCACCTGGACAAAAGAGCAGTTCACAAGAGAACTGCTGGGGGTCGTCAGTGGGCCAAGGCCATGACCGAGACGAGAGGAGGCAGAAGATGGCTTGCCAGAGGCTTGTTCATGTGGCAGGTGGGTGTGGAGGACCTCCAGCTTGGTCTTGCTCCCAGCCCCAGCCACTGGTGGCCTTGTCCTAGTCCTGAGCATTTAGGAAGGGCCAAGCTGACAGGCTCATGTCCTCCCCACCCGCCTGTCTACCATCAGCCTATCCCCTAATTAGGGGAACCACAGGCTGAAAGTGTCAGAAGGCAGATGCCAAGGTCTATCCCTCAGGATTCCTGAGCCATCCGCATAGCTGGACTGGGCCAGAGCCCTGCTCCGTCTCCCACCGCCTGGGCACAGGCTTTCTTTTTGGCTTCTAGGGACTTGGCAATCCCATCTGAAAGGGATGGCCAGGGAGAGAGCTCTATCCTGTCCACCACACTGAGATGCTCCCCCAAATCCCCCACCAGCCTGTTCTACTTTGGCCTCCCATTTCTTCCTGCCTCTAGCAGTCTGAGTCCAGGGCCAATGTCAGGTCCAGGCAGGGCAGGCTGGCTGGGGCATCAACAGGGGAGGGTTGCTGTGGACTTCTGCTTACATCTAGGCATCCTGGAGCACACCATATTGAGCTGACCTTTTATTAAGGACTTCCAAGGCCCAAGGGTAGGTTGTGGGGCCAAGAGCTGCTAGATAGGGAAGTCCCAGGCAGTGGGTATCCTGAGGCTGGTTGAGGACCTGGGTCAACCAGTCAGAGCTGGTGGCTTCACAGACTCCTGTCTTCAGCCCCAGCCCATTGGAGTCCTCTTGAAGCCCTGGAAGGCCCTCATTCGCTTTCCAGCCTGTCTGGTGTCTTCCCAATGACACGAGTGCATTGTGTGGCCCCAGGCCAGTGGTCTACATAAAGCCCTCTAGAATAAACAGAGAGATTTCCTCATCTGGCATTAGTCAAGGCACCATGCCTGACTGCTGTGGGTGCCAAAGGAATCAGAAAGGACCAATGTGGACAGTGGCTGATCACAATGCAAAGTTGGTCCTGTGAAGTCCAGAGACAGGGAGCACTCCCCACCCACTGCCCCCCGCTTACTGCCCCAGCAAGTGAGGGTCAGAGAAAGCTTCCTGGGAGAAGGCATTTGAGTGTTTGATCTTCATGAGCCATTAGGATTAGGGCAAGTAGAGGTAGGGAAGGCTGAACAGGTGCTCTAAGCAGAGAGAAAGGGTGCTGAGGAGAAGAAGGGGTGACCCAGAACCCCGAGTTAATCATTTTGGCTGGAATGGAGGGAATGCAGAGGATGTTATGGTTTGTGGTGCAGAGCTGGGATGGCAGCCTTAGGGACATTGTATTCTGAAGGCAGTGTGGAACTAGTGAAGGTTGTAGGGCACCATTCACACTACAGCCTGTAGGGATCGCCGTACACTGTTCTTGAAGGGTGTCGTTGGCATAGACTACAATGACGATGGGGCCCCTGGAATTGTGCGGTGCAACAGCCTCATTGCAGAGTGATATGAGCAGTGCTATTCCCTGAGCAATAGCCATCCGGTTGCAAGATGGAATGCCAGCTGGGTAGGTGGCAGCATGAGTAAATTCAAGGCCAGCCCCCTGACTGGTGTTCTGCCATCATCCAATCAACAGAGATGTTCACATCCCATTTTCTTGACTAATGCAAACAGCATTATCACCTGAATAATGGCAACCACCTCCCAGCATGATCAATCATACCTCCACCATCACCCACAGCTCCAACCGGAGCTCATGACCGCAAAACCCAAGAACTGGCAACATCACCAATACCATCCTCAACCTTTCCGTACATATTGTCACCGTCAGTAAGAGCATCAACCAAGCCCTGCCATTTCCTCCATGAAGAGCCATCACAACAGAGCAAAGGTACAGGGTTGGCACAGTCTCCTTGATGCCAACCAGGTTGAGGGAAGAGTGGGCTGAAGGGGGATCTGTAGCCAGGCTATTTTTGTCCCTCTGGCCATACCCTTCCCATGCAGCTGTGAGCATTTTAGTATAGGTGGTTCGGTTTGGTTTTTGCTTCAATATTTAACATGGATTATGGCTGAGTCAGGAAGCAGCTGTTGAATCATAGACCAGGTGGCAGTGATCTCATGGGCACTCTCTTTAGGACTGCATCCAGGGCCAAGAAAGTTCCCTACTCTCTTTGGGGTTTCTGGGGGCCTGTGGAACTTCAGGCCAGAATGCACCTGGACAAGAACCCAAAATCCTGCAGGACGCCCTCAGTGCCGCTCCTATTTCCCTAGGCCCTGGCTGCTTGGTGTCTGCCTACAGCGGCCGTAAATCGGATGCTAGACCATGAATTTTCCTAGGACCCACATCCAGCTCCCCCCACCTCCCACCGAATCTAGTGTTCCTTTGGAGTTATGCCCAGGGAAGAGCAGCAGGTAAGCTGGTCTGACACAGAATTGGAGCAAACAGGCACAGGCAAAGCCAACTTCCTGCAGAGTATTGTCTCTAGTCCAGATATTTTCATCACTCTTGTCCCGAGTGGTATCTTCAGTTCCCAGAAGCCACTAGAAGCATGCAACAGGGTCAGGGAGAACCAAAAAAGGAGACAGGGTGTTTTATGTTGGCCTGAGCCTCCCTAGGCCATACCTGCCCCTGCCATGAGGAAGGTCTGAGGAGCCAGCTTGGCGCCATGGCCCAGCACTTTGCTGAGGCTGCTGCTTCACAGGCATGGCTTCCTGAAGCCAGCTTCTTTCATGGAGGGTGGGTGAGCGGTCTCATGGCATTGCTGCAGGCCTGAGAGCTGGGCTCCCTGAGGCTTCCTGTCGGAACCACCGAGCTGGCAAAGGGCTGGACAAGACATGGCCAGTGCTCTGTCTACCCTGAATGCTTCCCACACAGTCAATGGAGAAGAAGGACACTCCCTTTCATAAGACAGTCAACCTAAAACCTCACAGTGTCTCTGGTTCTCTTCTTCCCCAACCCTCTCAAGCTGTTTCATGCCCTTCTCTACCGCGCACCTCACTGGATGGAAGAGAGAACTTCAGCAATGCTTTGGTAAAGAGCTCACGGCCCACTTGCATGGCTCCCTGGGACAGACCTCTGCAGCACCTTGCTACTCAAAGTGTGGTCTGTGGACTACGAGCAGCAGCAACCCCTGGGAACTTGTTAGACATGTAGATTCTCAGCCTGCCCCAGACTCACTGAACCAGAAGCTGCAGTTTAACAAGATTCCCAGGTGATTTGTCTTCATATTAAAGACTGAGAAGCCTTGTAGTGATTAGGGCTCATGCCCTTCTCTGCCTCTTGGCAGCTGTATGATGTTTAGCAGAGGTCCAGATTCAACCTCTCTGGATCTTAGATTCTTCATCTGTAAAATGAGGATCATGATACGAATCGCTCAGGGAGGTTGAAAGGATCAAATGGAGTGAAGCTTGTCCAGTTGTTTGGCACAAGTTCTGGCATATGGTAAACACTCACAGAGGGAAATTAGTATTTGAATTCTTTTCAAATAAGTGTGTTTTGTTGGGGTAAGATTCTTCTTGACTAATCGCAAGGAGAAGTGTCTTTCTTCCTCCATGGGGGGGCCACTTGAAGTATCGGGTAATCCTTCAAATCCCAAGGCACCTCACTCATCCTTCTGTCACTGCCAATAAGTTCCAGGAGGTTGAGTGATTGAATTCTCTCAGTCTCCGTTCCCTCGTCTATTAAGCAGAATTGATAACCAGAGGGTTGTTGTGAGGAATTAAAGACATATACCTGGCATGCAGTGTAAGTTCAGTAAATAAATTACAGAGCACGGGCCAGGTCATTTCCACTCGCAGGCGCTGCGTATCCTGCCGCTGTTGTAGCAAGTACAAATCTTAGTCCAAAGACCCCAATGAGCAAAGAATGTGCATTTCTTTGCTTTCCTATAATTTAATTTTTAGTCTCTGCCCTGCCTTTCAGATGGCAGAAATCTAATCCCATCACTCCAGGCTTTGATGCTCTTCCTTCGCCTGGAATGGTTTTGGAGATGCAGTGCTTACAGGATGCCAAGGTGGAGGGGGTGCTGGACACGTGGGCACTCAGTCCTTGGTCATGGTCTGCCTGTGCTGACATCTGCTGGGATATTCCCAACCTATGGGGATATGCTGGTCTACACTGGAAGAGCTATGACCTCTCTTGTTCCCAGTTACAGGGCTTCTCAAATGTGCAGGAGCTCAGGACCATGTCCATGTCACTCTGGGGTGTGGGAAACCCTCGATGATGGCTTGGGGGGTCTTTGGCCTGTCTTGGGTCTGTCTGCTCCTTCACCATGGGCATGAGGGACCTTGGGATCCTGCTACTTCCCCAGGATTTAACCAGAACAGGGGCACAGCTACCTCTATCCTTGAATCCTTCATGCCACATTGCTTCCTTTCTGGTTCAGATGACCTTGGTCTCCCTGGCAGGTAGATTTCATCCCTCTTCCAGATGCTTTCAGTGTCCTGGGTCCTCCAGAGCCTAAGCCCTTGATGTGCAAATATCTTACCTCTGTTTTGTGCCTTGTATCATTCCTTCTCAAATGCAATGCATGCCTCTGACTAAATGGGGAAGGGCAAAAGAAAAAGCAAAACAGGATGGGGGAGGAAACTTGGTTGGTACTTCAATCTACTTTTCCACCGCACTGTGTTTTTATGATATACACAGAGACAGAAAACTTAGGAAGTACACAAAAATAGTGGTGTGTGTGGAAACTCACCGGGCTTGAGCATATTTTCAGTGTTCTTGTGGCCCTCCAAGTGCTCTGAGCCCTTCCCTCTTGGGGTCCTGGCTGGCTCTTCCCCTGAGCTTGGAAACACGCCTACTGGAAGATTGTGCTCGGTTTGCAGTATAGATGGTGATTTCCACGCAGCCTGCCTCTGCTGCAGCCAACAGCCCCATGCAGAAGACCTCCTTGACCTGTTGTCTTTTTCGGTCCCGCCTCATCAGCACCCCTATTGAGCATGCTCCAGTGTGCACCAGCCAGGCCGCCACCCCGCTGCTGCCCGCTTCTGCCCAGCTGCCTGCTGCTGCCCCTCCCAGTGCGGCCTCGCCACCCTTGACCACAGCCACTGCCCATGCTGCCACCGCCTCTGCTGTAGCCCCTGCCTCGAGCCCTGCGGACAGTCCAAGGTAACGGGCCCACAGGTGCCGACCCTGACCTCAGGGAAGGTAGGCAGGAAAGGCCTCAACCTGGGTCCACCTGTCGGCAACTGTATCCAGCCCTCAGAAAGGCCCATGCAAGGTGGTTAGGACCCCGGGGGTCCTTGGGAAGCCAAACCTAGCACTGCCTGGTGTTAAGAGTGAAGGGGAGACTGGGGGTCACCGCAGGGGAGCACACTGTGTATAGTGTAGCACAGAGACTGGAATATGCTGCCTGGCCCCCTAGTACCCACCCCTTCTCTCTCTCTCTCTCTCTCTCTCTCTCTCTCTCTCTCTCGTACACACAGACACACACACAGACACACACACACACAGACACACACACACACACACACGCATGCTGTTAGATAACAAAGAGAGACTTTGTGCTAAGTCAGTGTTCCTGGAACTAGAATCAGGGGGAGAATGAAAATTGTCCTTGTGGTCTGGGGAAGTCAAGGGAGGCCCTCTGGAGGAGGGAGCAGATGCAGCATTGACCTTGGTAGGTAAGGTGGATCAGATTTGGGCAGCTATTTAGCGACCTGCTTGTCCTCTTTACCCTCTCGGCTCTTGATGGAGAGCACACTAACTCCAGAGGTACCCGATGTCCTGGGATGTACATCTCTGCTCCACCCCTTACTGTCTGTAATCTACAGAAAGTGACTTAATTTCTCTGAAGATCAGTTTCTCATCTGCTGAGATGTTTAATGCAACATCTATTTTTTTAGGATTGGGACAGAAAACGTGTACATATCACCTAGCACATAAAATGCTCTCGAGTATTATGAGTTATTGCATTTCAACCTGACCTTCTGGATACCCGCAAAGGCAGGGCTGGGGATGGCAAGAGGGGAGAGGGGGTGTTGCAGTTTGCAGAGGATGCAGGTGTAGGGAGGTGCAGGGGGCATGCTGTAATGACCGGATGGGCCTAGCTCTTTCTGGGCTGCATGGAGCTGTCAGGTTGGTGTTTGAGGTCACAGCCAGCTTTCCCAGTTTCTCATGCTCCCTTCCCAGGGTTTTGCTGGAGAGGACACACTTCTCTGGATCAGGGTTCATAAGCCCCTGGCAGGATAAAGGGTGGGCAGAGTGGCCCGCAGACCTGTGTGCTGCACCCCTGCCCCCAGGCTTCACAAGGACCTAGGTGGTGCCAAGCCCAGCCTTTGCCCAGCCCAGCTCAAGCCTCAAGGGTGAGCCCCATCTGGGCCTCCGGGGGTTGTTTTATTCCAGCTTCCTGGGGTCACTTAGCAAGTTGCTTCCCCTCTGCACACCAGAATCTCTTCAGCTAAGGGCACCAAGAAGAAACTTCGAAGAGGGTAAGAAATGTCTCTGTTGTTAAGTGAGAAGATGCCTTGCCAATTGGATGGAGGAGCTCTAGATGCTGGGGCCCTGCTCACGGACAAGCTCCAAAACTATGCTTCAGGCCCCATGTCCTCGGTGGCCCAGAGCCCTCAGGCCTCCCTCAACAAGGCAAACTTCTCCTTCTTGGCCTTGCAAAGGGAGATGAGGCCTGGGTGGAGGTTGGAGAGATACCTGGAGGGCTCCCAGCATCAGGCCGGAGCAGAAGGAGCTAGGGGACCACACCAGCTACCTCCCTGTCTACCCAAGGGTGGGATGGAGCTAGAGGGAGCCAGTGGGAGGCAAATGGACACCTTAGCCTTTCTTGGCCTCAAAATCCTTACTGGATGTCATAAGCCTCTGCTTCCTCCCCTAACACCAATCTTGGACAAAGGACCTGTAGCTCCTGAGTTGCTGGGAAAGCTTCCCCCACTGGTGGGAGAGTCTGGCTAAGCCCCTCTGACCCTCAGCCTTCTCCCACCGCTGTGGAAGCTGGGCACCCCTTCGACATTGTCTCTTCCTCCTCCACTGAGGCCCCTATTCCACTGTGGTTTATCAGAGAAGCAGGCAGGTCCAGGGAGGGGAGACAATGGCTTCACCCAACCAGAAACATAACTTGGTCCGGTAAGTCTGCACACCCCCCAGGTCTGGGACACTGGCTGTCTGAGGCTCATTCTACCTCCATACTGTCTGGGCAGCACTACACACCCTTCTGAATCCACTCAGGAGCTTGTCCGTGGGTCCCTAGCTCAGGACCACCCCTCCCAGAGCTCTGGAGAAGTTACTTCCTTATCCTGTGACTCTGCCCAGCACTTGGGCCCATGGAGAACAGTTGGAAGTAAGGCTGCAAGCCCTGGACTGGGGGAGGAAGGTATATATCAGGGGCTCACTTCCCTGGCATCCCCATCAATGACCCACTTGCCCTGGGTGTGGACATGTGGTCCTGAACGGGATCCGAAAGACGCAGGGAGAGACCAAGGGTGTATTCAACAAAGTGTTCTTTAGCTTTAAATGAAAAAAAAAAAGGGGGGGGGGGCCTGTTCACTGACAAATGACATTGGGAAACCCTGAATAAGACAAAGTTGAACATGCTGCTTAACTCCAGTTCTTGGAGCCTTTAGCTCTCCAAGGGGAGAGGCCAAGTACGGCATTTCCTGAGGGCAACGAACTGGGGCACTTTCCCCCCATTGCTTTGGTCCCGTGGTCCCCGGGTCACAAGTGGGAAAAGGCTTTAAGGCAGCTACCTCAGTGGGAAGAGGGCAACAGGAATGCTGTGCAGAGAAGCTCGTGTGTGTGTGTGTGTGTGTGTGTGTGTGTGTGTGTGTATTGGGGTGCTGGTCTCCTGGCTTCCCATGTGACCTCCCTGGATCACTCTTACCCAGAAACCTGGGACTTGGCGGCTCCCTCCAACAACAGCAGAAAAGGGAATGGGGAGGAGGCCAGTGGTCTGAGGCTGTGACATGACCCAGGAGGTCAGAAGGTGGAGGGACCTCCTCCATCTGTCTCTTCCCTCCTGCGTCTGCCCCTCCAGCCGCAGCCCCACCCTGGCAGTCTCTCCCCAGGGAGTGAAGGGCTTTCTGTCCGTCTTCCTGTCTGGCTGGTGGTTTTCTCCCCTCTTTCCTGAGATGGTGACACCAGCAATGGGCTGTATGGCTCTAACCAGACACACGAATACTCAGCCCCCAAGAAGCAGCTTCATCCCCAGTTAGACCCTCATGGTCTTTCCTTCACAGCCTCTGGCAAATGCCCAGGATGGATTCCATCAGGCTTCCTCCTCACAGAGGCTTCTGAACACACGGGAGCCAGCCTGCCAGGGTTGCAGGCCCCAGGGCCTGGGTGGGGCTGTCCTTCTGGCTGCTAACTCCTCCCCCTTGGTTCTAGGCCCCAGGCCTCTGCCTACAGCCCCGCCAAGGCGACCTCTCCGGCACCTGCCACTCATACATACAGTGAGGCCCCAGCTGCCCCTGCGCCCAAGCCCCGAGTTGTCACCACCGCCAGCATCCGGCCTTCTGTCTACCAGCCAGGTGAGAGGCAGAATGGAGGGGACGCTGTCAGGCTGGACGTGGCTTCTAGGCCGCATCCCGAGAAGGATGGTGACCAGCGAGGGCCAGCTAATGAGGCTCAGCCGTCCTTCTCGCTAATGTGGGCCAGAATCCTAGGGAGCCTGCCTCTGGCCCTGGTGAGATGGGTGAGTGGTACCAGCCAGGGGCGGAGCCTCCCGGCTCTTAGGCAGATAAGGTTCCTGGCTGGGGATTTCCAGGCTCAAGGTGAAGGAAGAAGAGAAGGTTTAGAGGGGAGGAGCTTGTTTCTCCAGGAGTCTGGATCTAGCTCAAGCTGGAAGACAGGCAGCTGTAATGAAAATGCCATGGGTTTGGGACAGTGACCCCGGGCAAGATGCTCATTCTGTCTGGTCTTTTGGTTTCCTCAGCCGAGGCAGGACAACGGAGGCTCAGAGAGCACATGTGATAAGCAACAAAATGCTCTCTGTCCGTGGCTGAGCTCACTTAGCTGTCTGTTCCATTGCTCTGGTCTCCATTCTCATCACTGCCCAGGGCCCCTTCACAGGGATGAGGGCTCACTTCCTTCCTTCCTCAGCAAAGTTTGGCCTGCTCCCCAGAGCCCAAGGGCGATTCTCAGTCTGGCTTGTACCCCACCTTCCCCTGCCTGGCCCTGCTCAGACCCCTCCTCAGTGAACCTGAGGGCTCCTTAGCTAGTATCTTCCCAGGTTTGGGGAGGGTCCTGTGTGTCCTGGTCTATAAGATGTGCCCACAGGAGGGCTCTGGGCAACTACAGTCATCCAGGGCTGATGTCACCCTCCTTCCCACTGGATTCTGCCTCTTAACTCCGGGAGGGCAGGGCTGTGGCAGATTTTCTTCACTATATCCCCAGCACCTGACTCAGGCCTGACACAGAGGAGGGGGTCAGCAAAGGTAGTGAATGAAGGAATAAATGAATGAATGAATGAACACTGGTGAGGAACTCCAGTCGGGGGGAAGGGATGGGGAGGGAGAGGCTGTGAACTGTGCACTCTGGTGGTCCAACACACAGGGGTAATGGATCACAAGGGTTTCCAGAGCGGTACCCTGGTGCAAGTTCCATGAGTGGGTGAGAGAGGGTTTTAGGTGGGCACACACTTCTCATTGAAAGCATTGTACTTCCAACATATTTCTCTGTACAGCCATCTTGAATACAGCAATGATGACATTTTCCGCTTGCAGCAGTATACAAACTGTTCCCTGCCCTGCTCCCAAATCATCACATGCACAACCATCTTTACATACGAGAAAGAGGTGGACTGAGGAAGCCAATAACCTGTTTGGGAAGCAGGTAGCTAATTCTAAGGGAACGGGAAGGGGGCTCCTGCGTGTCATGCAAGAGAGGGGGAGTCGGTCCAGCAGTCATCAGGTAGAGGAACAGCGAAGTCTGGACTCAGGAGCATTCCTGTTAAGGAAAATGAGAGACCCCAGAGAGGATCCTCAGTGAAGCCGGAGAGCAGGGGAGGTAAGACAGGGACTGAGCAGGAAGGGCTCTGCTTTGGGGACCTTGTCTTGCTCTGTAGGGCCCGGGAGCCCTCATCAGCCCTCCGATTATAAAGCCCAGGCTGACCGCCGCAGTGGTAAAGCAGTTTGGGCATCGGGCAGGCTCCCGTGCCGGGCCCAGCTCTGCTAATCTAAGGCCTGAATTTCCCGCTCTGAAAATGAGCATGAAACTATGTAGACCTCCTGTTCTGGGGGAGAAAACGAAGGGTACTTGGCACACAGGAGGTGCCCTTCCCTGTCCTTTCCGACGCAGGGACACCAAGTTCTGAGGTTGAAAATCCACAGGAGTAGGGAGCAACTCGGAGCTGGAGGCAGTGGTGAGGACTCTCCGAGGGAGCTGGAGGACGCGGCCGCGCGGCGGAGACGGGGACCCCCGGAGGGAGGGTGGGAAGCCGCCCGGGTGAGCCGCGGCGGGCGGAGGCGAGGCTCCGTCCCGGCGCAAGGAGCCCATTTCCGTTCCGGCCCAGCCCGGGCTCGCTTCCCAGGCGGGTCCTTCCGGGCACCTTCCGGGGCGGACCCCGGGCTTCGGCGCCGCCGCGCCGGCCGCCGGCTCTCCTCCGCAGGCCCGCCAGGGGGCGGCAGGGCTCCGGGGGCGCCCCTCTCCTCGCCCCAGGGCTGGGGCCCAGGCGGGCAGGACGTGCCGGAGCCCCGGGGCGGCGGGCCTCTCTCCGCGGCGTTCCCAGGCGGTGCAGACGTTAACTCACGCCTGCCCGCAGGGGAGGAGGCGGCCTGCCGCGCCCCCGTCCCGGGGAAGGCCCGGCGGCTGGCAGGCGGCCCGGGGAGAAGCGGGGAACGCGGGCCCGAGCCGCAACCGTCCTTCGCCGTCCCCGGGCCCGGCCGCAGCTCCCCGCGGGGCTGCTCGGGGCCGAGGGTGGCGTTCGCAGCCCGGGTCTCATCGCTGGCGCCGGGGCTGGGCGGCCGCTCCGCGGGAGCACCTGGGGCCCGGGAGGCTGCGGCGCGGGCCTCAGCGTGGGCGGAGGTGCCCGGCGCGGGCCGGGGGAGGCCACGTCGGCCCGCGGGCCGGGCGGGGGCCGGCGCTCGCGGGGAGCCAGGCCCGACCTGGAATGAGTCAGAAATCACCTTGTTTAATTACACATTCCCGAGGCCGCCGAGTGCGATAGGGGCCTTTTGAACTTGCCAATTAGAGGTGAAATATCACCTTCTAATTTAGCCGGGCTTAATTCTGTCAAGCAGAAATAGCAACAGCCTCGGGCTCGGAGATGGGATATCAAGTCTCTCTCCCGGCACGTCTGGGGTGGCGCGGCCGGCCAGGAGCAAGGGCGCGGAGGGAAGGGGACTGTGGAGCAGCTGCTGCGCGCCGCTCTCACCCTCACCCCACCAGAGTGGGGGGGGGACGCCCTGTGGAGGGGGGGAGCTGCAGGCCTGAGCCTCGGGGAAGTGGAGATCCCCAGCTCTGGGTGGGCGTAGCCCTGAGCAAGGGAGCGGTCCACCGGGGTCCAGATTCTGGCGTGCCTCTCTGACCTGCGGAGACTTTCTCCGGGGCTTAGACAAGGGGGCTGGATCAGGGAGTCTGGAAAGCCTTCCGGAGGAGGGAGGAGAACGTCTGGCAGGCAGAGGGAATAGGGCTAGTGTTGCCGGAGGGAAGCAGGAAAAGTGGGCAAGGGCCCGATTTGGAAGGGGCTTGCGAAAGCCTGTTTTGCTGCCCAGGGGGTGGTTAAGCTGGGAATCTGGAGTTGAGTCCGACTGCCCAAGCTCCACTTTGGTAGTTCACTAGGTCCCTAGTGGTAATCACTTAGGCTCACCAAGCTTTATTCCCCATCTGTACAATGGGCTGGAAAATATCTGCCTCACTGGATTGCAGTGAGTATTACATGCAATAATGCAGGTAAAGGGACTGGCATATGAGAGCAGTCAGCACTTGGTGGCCACTGTTCTGATGAGGGCAGCACTGTTCAATAAAAATAAAGTTTCTTGTTAGCCACATTTTTAATGAAGGAAAAGGAGGGTGAAATTAACAAATTTTATGTAACTCAATATATTCAAAGCATCATTTCAGTATATAATCAATGTAAAATTATTAATGAGATACTTTATATTCTTCTTTTGTACTAAGCTCCGAAATCTGTATTTTATATTTATAGCTCTTCTCAATTTGGACTAGCCTCATTTCAAGCGCTTGCTGGCCACATAGGGCTGTGCATTGACACAGGATTAGGGTTTTGCTTTTAATCCTTTTAGCAGAGATCCCATACTTTACACACAAAAAAAATAGAGACAGAGGAGTGGGAACAAAATCTTGCACAGAACCCCGTTATATATACTAGAGAGGAATGAATCTGCTCTGAAGTTCTGCTAGATCACCTCTCCCCACAGCCCCTGCCTGGTGGTGTTCCCTTCATCACCCCTGCCCCCGGCACTTTGAGACCCTCTTGCTCTGGACACTTGGGTGTTATGCAAGGTTGTTAGAAAAGGTGACAACGCTTCAAATTTGGGCTTCACAAATGTTGTCCGGTATGTCTCACCACTCCTTTGAGGCAGGCAGGGGCGGCATACATTCCACCACAGGTGAGTAGACTTCGTCCCAGGTTATCTGATTACAGGGTGTCACGTCTCCCACCCCCACCCCCAGCATCCTACGGTCTCCTGGACAGTTAGTTACTCCTAGGTGACCATCAGGCAGTAAGGTGAACTGACAGTTCATCCAGACCCTGACACCCGGGAGGCACCATCCTCACCATCCTCACTAATTTGAAATGATGCATACATTGTGCCAGGCACTAGGCTAAGCACTTTCTATTTCTCATCTCCTTTAATCCTCGTAACTACCCTGTAAGGCACTAAGAATTATTAATGCCATTTTTAAAAAAGAAAATTCAAGCCCAGAGATGTTAAGGAACTTGCCCAAGGACACACAGCCAGGATTCAGTAGTGCTAGGCCCTGAACCTAGGGCTCTTGATGGTCGTGCTACATGTCAGAGCACGGGACCTCCTCCAGGTAGATAGCTCCCCTTCAATGACACACTGCATGGAGATTTTCTGAAAATCAGACCCACATTCTTTACAGGGGAAGCTTGGGGAAATAAAATGGCTTTGGAGACTCACTCTGCCACTTACTGGCTCTGTCTGAGCCTCAGTGACCTCAACTGTCAAGGGAACTAACCCAGATGACTTGTTATGTGCCAAGCCTACCCCCTTAATAAGTGGGGAGAAGACTGATTCCTCAAGGAGAGGGTTTTACCTTTAGGAGCCAGCATCGCTCCCAGCATGGCTCCAGGGCAGGGCTGCGGAGGATTTTACCCCTTTACCTCTCAGTAACAGAGCCTGATCCCTACCCACCCATGGTAGCCCGGGGGTTCCCATGTTGCCTGGCTCTGAAGGGCCAGTCATCTGGGAGCAGAAGGTAGAGTTGAAGCAGCAGGCCTCAGGCCACCCAAGGTGATTCAGGAGAACGAGGTGGGAGAGACCAGAGGCCGGTGGGGAACTTTAGCCCTGAGAAGACCTTCCTTTCCAGGCTGGAGACTGATGGGGGCTGCCTCAGCACCCCTCAGTATAGGCCATCCACCTAGGCAGGCTCAGGAATGGAGGGAGGCTGCCCCAACATGTTTCCCAGGATGGGAAGAATGAGGGCTCTTTCCAGAGGCTCAGACTGTGAGCTGAGGTGAGGCTTCTGGAACCATTCTGGCTGGAAGAGGAAGCCGGCTGGAATGTGTGTGCAGGCTCGGCAAGGGAGGCAGCGGCCCTGAGAAAGCTGGGTTTTGAGGGCCCAAGCCTCAGAGAGCTTCTGGTGAGGAGCTGCAGTGCTTTTTGGCGTTGTCACCCCAAAAGTGTTTTCAGCTCTCAGGGAGCAGCAAGGGGGGGTTCCAGAACCGGGGCAGTACGTTCTCGTCCTGCACTCTGACTTCCACGGTACTCTCTGCACAGCCACTCAGACATTCTCTGGTTCCCCTAAAGTGATGTGGGAGAGCATGGGTCTCCCAGAGGCAGCCACACACGGAAGTGAGCTGTCCCCCGCCGCCCGCCGCCATCTCTGCCCAGGCTTCCTCCGAACACTTCTCTTGACACCCTTACCCCCACCCCACATTGAACCAAGGTGAAATGTCCCCCAGTGCAAATCAAGCCAGACTGTTTTTCAAGACAACAATTGCAGCTGAACATGAAACCTGAACTTGAAGCCCCAACTGCCCTGTCATCGGCTCTGTCCCAAAGGCCGGACTAGGTCCAGGTTCAGCAAACACAATTTGAGGCATTTCAGATGTCAAAGCGCTGGTCAGAGTGTAACCAAAAGCATCTTCCAGTCAAGGCCAAGCTGACCCGCTCCTGAACCTCTTCCTGGCCCTGAGGACCCAGATATGAGGCTCGCCTGGCACCCCCGCCCCCATTCCCTGTCTTCTGCAGGCCTCTGGCAGCCAAGGCCTGGCCAAGCCCCACCCCACACAGCTGCAGATATTTATAGCTATGTCCCTTTCCCAGCCCTGTCCCAGCTCCCGAGGGCTCTTGCTCTGCCAGAGGCAATCTGGGGCATCAAGAAGTTCAGGAACGTGTCTTCCATAAGAATTGGAATTGTCCTGCTCTAATATTAAAGTCACCTTTTACAGTTTTCTGGCTGGGGGCGGGGGAAGTTGGGAGAAATGAATTCCTGATACATTTTTCTTTGGCTCTCTTTGCTTTGCAGTGCCTGCATCTACCTACAGCCCATCCCCAGGGGCCAATTACAGTCCAGCTCCCTACACCCCCTCACCTACCCCTGCTTACACCCCCTCACCCGCCCCCACCTACTCCCCTTCCCCGGCACCAACCTATACCCCCTCGCCAGCCCCGAGCTATAACCCCTCGTCCTCAGTGACATACAGCGGGGGCCCTGCGGAGTCTGCCAGCCGCCCCCCGTGGGTGACAGACGACAGCTTCTCTCAGAAGTTTGCCCCCGGCAAGAGCACCACCTCCGTCAGCAAGCAGACCCTGCCCCGAGGGGCCCCTGCCTACACCCCAGCAGGGCCCCAGGTGTCTCCCCTGGCGAGGGGCATCGTTCAGCGGGCTGAGCGCTTCCCAGCCAGCAGCCGCACTCCGCTCTGTGGCCACTGCAACAACGTCATCAGGTATGGTCCAGCCTTGGCTGTGAGCTGGGGTGCTGGAAAGGCGGGGGTGTGGGAGGCTCACCCACTCTCTGAGCCCTGGGCGGGGGGGGGGGGGTGTCAGGAATAGGGAAAAGACTGCTGAGCAGCCTCGGGCGCCTTTGGCTTGCCACCTAGTCTGACCCTCTTTGAGCTTTAGCTTCCATACCTGTGTGACACGCACTTCTCTGGGGAGTCGGGAGAATTCCATGAGGTAAGTGGGTGAAGCTCCCAGCACGGTGCCTGGTGCCAGGACCTCCCCCTTGGGCTAAGGCCGGGTTCTGGGAATTGTAGGTCTCGTCAGTAGGTTTATTGGGGATGTTGCAAGCTGGCTGACAGTGCTAGTTTTGACCCAGCTTTCCTTCAGGGTTGCTTCTGGGTCTTTCCACAGACAGGCCTGTGCTGCTCAGGGCTTTGGTGGGCATCTGCCACACTAAAAGGAAGACAAGTCATTTCATGGACCATAGGTGATACTTGTTGGAACGTAGCGTGTTTATAGTATGTGTGTGCTGGGGAGGTGAGCTTATATATGTGATAAGTATACTTTTATTTAAAAATAAAGTAACACAGGGACGCCTGGGTGGCTCAGTCGGTTAAGCGTCCGACTTCAGCTCAGGTCATGATCTCACTGTTTGTGGGTTTGGGCCCCGCGTCGGGCTCTGTGCTGACAGCCAGCTCAGAGCCTGAAGCCTGTTTCGGATTCTGTGTCTCCTGCTCACTCTGTCTCTCTCTCTCTCTCAGAAATAAATAATAAAAAAAAAATTTTTTTAACTTTTTAAAAAAAGAAGTGAAAGGAAAATAAAAATATTTTAAAAAATATTTTGAAAAATAAAGTAACACAGAAAAAAAAGAAACAAAGTACATTTGCTCACTAGAGACAAATTAGAAAGTTCAGGAAAGTGGGGCACGTGGCTGGCTCAGTTGGTTAAGTGTCCAACTTCGGCTCAGGTCATGATCTCATGATTCTTGAGTTCAAGCCTAGCATCAGGCTCTATGCTGACCTTGTGGAGCCTGCTGGGGATTCTCTCTCTCCCCCTCTCTCTCTGACCCTCCCCAACTTGTGCTGTCTCTCTCTCTCAAAATAAATAAACTGAACACATTTAAAAAAAAAAAAAGAAAATTCAGAAAAGTAAAAATTAAAATTTAAAACGTTCCCTTGCAGTCCCACTGCTCTATCTGCTAATCTGGAATTAGGCTCATTTACTGGGTCTAGGGTACTGGCGCTGTGGCCTTGAACAACTTACTTCATCTCTCTGTGCCTCAGTTTCCTTATCTGAAAATGGGTACTCTAATTCTACTCCTTAGGATTATTATAAGAACTAAACAAGCTAATAAATGCACATTTCCTCTTAGATAGTGCCAGGCACAAAGGCACCCCCGTTGCCGCAGTCATCTTTGCCCTTACAATCATCAGGCGTCAACTGAGTGGATATTCTACAGTGTGCGTCCATGGTCCCCTGTTGGCAGATATTGGAGCTGTTTTCCCCATTTCTCTTTATTGTAACTGATGCAACAATGAATGTCTTTTTGCACAGAGCTTTCTCTGAATTTCACATTAGTTCATTTGAACAGTCACAAAGATAGAGTTATTGGGTCGCAGCACGAATATTGTTGGAGGTCCTGAAATATCTGGTCTCAAGCTTGGTGCTGCTCTCTGCTTCCCCAGGGGCCCCTTTCTGGTAGCCATGGGCCGTTCCTGGCACCCGGAGGAGTTCAACTGTGCCTACTGCAAGACCTCTCTGGCAGACGTGTGCTTCGTGGAGGAGCAGAGCAACGTTTACTGTGAGCGCTGTTATGAGCAGTTCTTTGCCCCAGTCTGTGCCAAGTGCAACACCAAAATCATGGGGGTAAGTGGGCAGCATCCCTCTCCTCTGACCCTGTATTTTCCCCACTAGTCTCTTCCTGTCTCCAAGATTGTGGCCTCCCATTAGGAAGCCAAGAAGTGGCCGCCAACAGAGAGAGAACAACTCTTTCTATCCTACAAGGGAGTTGGTTTGCCACCAATGAACTAGGGAGCAAATGAACTTGAAGGGAGAGATGGTTACATGCCCCGGCCACACAGCTTGAAGTGTTGGCAGAGCATCTGTAAAATGAGCTATCGCTTCATGGACTGACCTCACCATGCACCCACACGTGGCCTTGACCCCCCTGAGCTCCATGCTCCTTTGGGAAAATGGTGGTCATAAGCAGTACCTCCCCACCATCTTTGATGGGAGGGTTAAGAATCACAGCTAGGTAACCACCTTCCAGATGATTCTGACACAGAACCTGGCACCCAGCAAGCGCTGCATGAGCAGGAACTCCTCTGCCACCACTCCCCCCCCGCCCCCCAGGCCTTTCCTGAGTAGGTAGAAGGCCCATGTAGTCCTGCTGCCCTTTGGGATGCTCCAGCAGTAGCCAGGGCCTGGTGAGGAAGAGCGGGACTGGCTTCCTCTCTCCCTGGGACTTTTCTGGCCTGAGCTGAGGCTGTTTCCCTCAGGAAGTGATGCATGCCCTGAGACAGACATGGCACACCACCTGCTTCGTCTGCGCAGCCTGCAAAAAACCCTTTGGGAACAGCCTCTTCCACATGGAAGATGGGGAGCCCTACTGCGAGAAAGGTAGGGCCACTGTGCTGTGGGGAAGCCTTTGTCCGTTCACATTCAACCATCAGGAGGCTCCAAATGGCAGAATCATGGTTTTCTGGGTGGGAGTTGGGTCTATAGCTTCTTTTTTTTTTTACACATTCAATCTCTGCTCCTTTCCTTGACCCAAATATGTGGATCACCAGTAGGCATCTTGTAACCCTTCATATGATTTTGATCTGGAGACCACAAGGTCAAGTCTAAAAAGGCTTTGTCTCTGGACTTCGAATTAGGTTCTGTCCCAGGCTCCATATTGGACTGGCTTTGTAACCCTGAGTGGGTTATTATACTTCTCTGAGCTTCACTTTCTCCATCTGTTAAAAGGGGGCATATAAATGCCTGCCCCATGAGTTGTAGTGAGGATTAAACCAGAGGAAGTGTGTAAAGCATCAAGCACGTGAAAGCCCCTTTCGCTGTCCCTGTCACATTCCTCCAGAGTCCCATAATCTCCCTGTCTGAATTCAGAGTTCGTCTGTTCCCCAAAATGCTACATTATTATCTTAAAACTTGGAGTAAATTATTGTAAATTCTGAAGACAAAGCACTCTATTAGAGAATTGCTGTCCTGGCTAATTAGCCACTCACTCATTTATGCATAGCCTGCCTTTTTCAGAAGAGGGCTTAAGGCAGGTTCTAACAAAGGTAACATGGACATGAAGGTTAACACAATAGAACTAGAAAACTAGCACCAAGCAGAAGAAGGAAGTTAGTTTTAAAGTAAGTTAGTTTACTTTAAAATCAGAAAGGAAAAAACACTCCAGTTCCTCAAGGGGAAAAGCAAAGCAGACTAAAATGATTTTCCCCTGACAATAAATTATAAAAGAAATTTCTTGGGTTCTTATATACTGGTAAGTTCTATTTTCTAGCTCTTATTAATGGAATGACTTACTCAGTCATTCTGTGCCTCAGTTTCCATATCTGTAAAAGGGAACAGATAATGACGTCTTTTCCCTTCTTATGAGTGCATGGTGATAATTATTAGATAATTAGTAGATAATGGATAAGTGTGTGGTTTTGTCAATACAAATTGCTATTATTAATTGACTAAGAACATTTACAGCTCCAATAATTTGTGTCTGAGGCTTGCAAAAGAATGACAGATTTCCACTATCACCACTGTCCCTCTCCACAGTGAGCCCCTCCCCCCCAAAAAAAATGATGGACATTTGGGTTGCTTCCACTTCTTGGCTATTGTGAATAATGCTGCTATGAACATGGGTGTTCATACACACAGTGTTTTTTAAAGTTTTTTTGTTTATTTTGAGAAAGAGACAGAGAGAGAGAGAGAGAGAACATGGGTGAGGGGCAGAGACAGGGAAAGAGAGAATCCCAAGAAGCCCTGTGCTGTCAACACAGAGCCCAACATGGAGCTTGAACTCAAAACAATGAGAAATCAAGAGTTGGATGCTGAATGGACTGAGCCACCCCGGTGCCCCTAAAAGACCCTGTTTTCAATTTTTGGGGGGTATATACCCAGAGGTAAGATTGCTGGGTCATATGGTATTTCTATTTCTGAATCTTTTAGAAACTTTCACACTCTTCCCATAATGCATAATGGTGTTGCACCATTTTACAATCCTACCAACAGTGCACAGAGTTCCAATTTTATTACATCTTTGCCGACACTTACTATTTTGCTGTGTTTCTTTTGGTACCAGCCATGCTAATGGGGGTGAAGTGGTATCTCTTGTCATCATTTTTATCAGCAACTTGGAGAAGACACAGAAGAGAGAATGCCAGAATGATAGGATCTCGACTCAAAAAGATTTCAGTCAATTGCCATGATGAGCTGACACTTTTGTATATGATACCTTGCGTATAAGTAAGGAAGATCAGCCCTTCATGGATGGGCCTGCCCCGGAGCAGTGACCCAGACTGGTGGGGTGTTGCGATCACCTGGGGAACTTTAAAGATATAAGGAACACCTGGGTGGCTCAGTCAGTGAAGCATCCAATTTTGGACCAGGTCATGATCTCCTGGTTTGTGGGTTCAAGCCCCGTGTAGGGCTCTGTGCTGACAGCTCCGAGCCTAGAGCGTGCTTCGGATTTTGTGTCTCCCTCTTTATCTTCCTCTACCTGCTCGTGCTCTGTCTTTCTCTCAAAAATAAATAAACATTTAAAAAAAATCAAGAATTTAAAAAATAAAGATATTAGAAAGAACAATTCTCAGACCTACGGATGCAGAATTGCATCACTCTACCCCCACCCAGATGATTCCATATTCAGTTAGGTGTGAGAATTGAGGTATGATCCCAAGAACAACAATATCAGAATCACAGAAATGCAGATCTTCAGGTCCCACCCCAGATCTGCTGAATCAGAAATTCTGAAGGGTAGGGCCCAGCAATCTGTGTTTTAGTGAACGCTCAAGATGATTCTGTTTGCAAACGACTGCTCTAGGAAAGCACTAGGCCCTTTTTCAGCAGAGAGCACCTGTGATTTGATGGATGGAAACCCTTTTACAATAGCAATAAAATCCATTAAATACAGGGTATGAATTCAACTCGGGGCATAAGAGAGTCAGTCAAAGAAAATTATAAAGACCTAATAGGAGAAATAAAGTAAGAAATAAATAAATGAGGAGCTGGATTATGCTCCTGGTGGGAAAGACCCACACACAACCTGACTTCCAATTATATTCTCATTTTTTAGGATAAATGAGAAATATATTAACTTTAAAAAATGTATTAGGGTCAAGACTTGTGCTACCAAAATTTAAAACAAAATGGCAGGCAGTTCTTAAGACCTTACAAAATCAAATATAAAACAGAAAAGCCAATCAGTAGGCAAGACTAGACATTCCATTGTAAGAGCTTAATCTTAGGCACAACGAGAAAAGGAACTGGTGTTTAGTAAGGCTTTCTGAACGTTCCTTTTACTTGTCCATTCATCATTTATCCATCGGATGGATGCCAGTTCCTGTGAAAGACACTGAGGATTGGGAGTGGGTCTGTCCTCAAAAACCTCAAGCAGATACATCATCATGTGATATGCTGGCACATAAATGGATAGTCAAGAGATAATGATTGAATGGATGAGTCAATGGAGTGAGAAGGTGGGGCAGCCCAAGATAAGCCCCCAGAAAGGTCATCTTGTCTCTCTTGGTTGGGGTGGATGATGAGGGCTTCCCAGAAGGAAGGCCTGGCCCAAAGGGTCACAGACATCCAGGTAGACAAAGTGGAGATGGCATTAGGTGAAGGAGAGAGAAAGGAACCCAGAGCATCTGGAGGCTGGGAGTAATGAGAGAGAAGTCAGAAGTGGGGGTGCAGGGCTGGCCCTCCCATGGAGGTGGGGTAGCCTATGGCCCTGTTTCTCACCCATACTAGTTCCTACAGAGCACAGAGTCAACTGTAAACCCACTGTAACTTTGTAAAGGAAGCAGAATAATGTTTTCTTAGCTCTGGTGAGGTGATAGATTTCTGCCTACTGAGGAAATGAAGTATGCTGTCAGAGTCAAGATTAACAGACTGTGATATATGTAACAACATTTGCATGACAAATTGTAATTAACCCCCAAAGGGGAAACCATACATTGGAAAAAATAGATGAGAGATATAACTTATCAAAGCTCAATGGCAAATAAATAACTGGAGACCGCATGAAGCTGCGGAAAGAGAATGAACTTTGGAGTCCATCAAGGCTCTTTCCTGCTTGTGTGAGGGAACCTCTATGGCCAGTCTCCTTGTCTTTAAAATGGGAATAATACTTCCTCACAGAAGAAGATGGTGAAGATTCACCAAGAAACTTAGGAAGGCACTAATATCGGACTGGTGCATAATAGGGACTTGGGTCACGTTTCCTTCCCTCCTTCTATCATTTATAAAACCATTCACAGTAAAAGCTAGTATTTTTTAGTGTTTGTGCCAAGTACATTCACACGCTTTGTCTTATTTAATTTGTACAACAACTCCACGACTTAGGTACTGAAAGATGAGACACTGAGGTGTTAGGTGCTTTGTCCCAGGTATGAACAATTCCTGAATAGAGCTGGGACTTGGGCTCAGTGCTTTTTTTTTTCTTCAGAACCCAAGTGCATGGGGTGCCTGGGTGGCTCAGTCAGTTAAGCAGTCAATTTTGGCTCAGGTCATGATCTTGCAGTTCATGAGTTCGAGACCTGCATCAGATTCTGTGCTGACAGCTCAGAGCCTAGAGGCTGTTTTGGATTCTGTGTCTCCCTCTTTCTCTGCCTCTTTCCCACTCACATTCTGTCTCTCTCTCACTAAAAAAAAAAAAAAGAAAAAAGAACCTAAGTTCATAACACCCCATGGCTCACTGCCTCTCCACATGTGGTCTAAGATGGCAAACAGGTGCACTGTCCCCAAGGGAATCTGAGCAGAAAAATGGTATAGTGAAGAGCCACCTTGGCAGAGCTGTGAAGAAACAAGTGTACTTCTAGGGGAATGAAGCCTTTGTAAAAGGCATCTAACTTCTCTGAAACAATCTGGAAGCGTTCTACAATGAATACTGTGGAATTGTGGCCACTGGGACCCAAACAAGCAGCTCCTGAGTTGGAGAAGCATGGGACCCAGCTCACTGTGTCTCAGCTGTGTGACTCTGGCGAGCCTCAGTTTCTTCATCCTCAGAACAAAACAAAAAATAACTCTAGTTCCACCTCTGAGAGATTTTTCTGAAGACTACATTTATTCATTGATTTATTGATTCACTGGTTCATCTGCTCATGCATTCATTCAACATGTATGTGTTGGGTACTGATTTGCGTGTCACACACCATGTCGAGGGTGGAAAGAAAGCAAATACATACTTCTACATAGACCATGACATTGAGATACTAGTAGATAATACTATCTATGTGAGAATGCTTGGTAGGCTGCAAAACATTATACAAATAGTACTTGGTATTATTATCTCTTTAGCTAAGAGAGGGAAGGGGGTCATGTCTTAACATAGTAGCTCAAATATTGTTTCTAGTAGTGAAAATTTGTTATCAACACAAATGCCCAATGACAGAAGAATTTCCAGGCAAAGAGCAGACTATAACTCCTAAAAATGTTAAGGGCTCTCCTTCTTCCAAACTAAGCATAGCTGTTGGGAAATATGATTTTTTTTTTAATTTTTGGGATTGATCTGTTTAGGTTATAAAAGCTGATAGAGAACAGAGGAGAAAGTCACTCTACAGAAAATGAGTGTCAGATCCAGAAAATGGTTTACAAATCAAACCAGCAAGAGTGGCAAGTAAGCCTGAATCCATACAACTCCACGACAAAGTACTGAAAAGGGAAAAAAAAACACACCAAAAAACCAAAAAACCAATCGCATAACTAAACATTTTGTCTGCAAAATGACAAGTAACCAGTTCAGTTGTACCCATTGCCCCGGCTCAGTGATATGGGATGCTGTCCCAGCATTGGGTCGGTGCATCCAGATGCTTCTCCCAGCCTGCCTGGATGCCTGATCCTCACTCTGCCTTTCGTTTCAGACTATATCAATCTGTTCAGCACTAAGTGTCATGGCTGTGATTTCCCTGTGGAGGCCGGTGACAAGTTTATCGAAGCCCTGGGCCACACCTGGCATGACACCTGCTTCATCTGCGCGGTATGTGTTTAGCCTAGGGTTCTGACTTTCTGAGAAGGGGCAAGAGGGACCTACCTACCCCCCTTTCAACTCTGGTCTTCTGAGACTCTATCATTTTTAAAAGCTGGCAAGTACTGAGAGGCCTTGATACGTCACAGTCAAGCAAAGCTTCATTACTAATAAGTATCTATAAACCAATGTGGCTTTGTTATTCTCCTTTTCATAAGGACAATAGAATGTCCTCCAGGGCCTGTCAGACCAGCAATGGGCCTCACCAGCAGTGCTCTCAACAGTTGGGAGTAGTGACGTGAGTTCAAGCCCCGTGTTGGGCTCTGTGCTGACAGCACAGAGCCTGGAGCCTGCTTTGGATTCTGTCTCCCTCTCTCTCTCTCTCTGCCCCTCCCCTACTCATTCTCTGTCTCTCTCTCCCTCAAAAATAAATAAATGTTAAAAAAATTTTTTTAAATAGTTGGGAGCAGTGAATGATGCCTGGGTTAGAATAGAGACAGATAGTTTCCTATGGTTATAAGATGTTTTAGATATGATGAAGTGATTGAAGGGTTTTCCCCTAGATTTTCACTGTGAAACACCAGATTGGAGCTTATTGACTTATCCTATGAAAAGCTGAGATATGGCTTCTTTTTGTAGAACGTTTAGGAACCAGGGCTGACTATCACTTTATTTTCCTGAATGGTCTTGTTCTTGATATGTAGTTGCCAGGAGATAAACCCTAGATTAACTATTAACCACACGCCATTTATTTCTGCTGAACAGCCGGGTCATTTTTCCCATGAGAGTGGCACTTTCCTTCCGAGGGCTCCGGGGAGGGGACAGGACACAGCAAGGAGCTCACCCACATCTAGACTCTGCCTTAGATTTAGGGAATATTCAGTCCTGAGAAGGGCCTGACATGTGAGTCTGCAATTGCCTGAACTTTATTTGGGAAAATTAATGTGCTGCTACTACGTTCTTTTTTCTTTCTTTCTTTTTTTAACCAGAGCTGCTCAAGGCAAAGTGTGGCAATGTATCAAATATCCACGCAGTTTAAACTTGAGCAATGTTTATAGACTGAGGAGATAGGGCAACCCTCGTCATAAAGTTTCCCACAATGCACTTCAGGTTTCTGCGCCACCATCCATGGGGTGCACTGTCTTGACCTGTGTTCGTTTGCTTAGGCTGATGTCTCAACATACCAAAATCTGATGGCTTCAACAACTGAAATGTCTTCTTCACAGTTCTGGAGGCTGGAAACCCAAGTTCAAGGGCTGCTTCTCTCTCCCAGCTTCTGGTGGTTGCCAGCAATCTCTGACGTTTCTTGAATTACAGCTACACAACTTCTGTCTCTGCCTCCGTGGTCACATGGCTGCCTGCCTTCTGTGTTCTGTGTCCTCACATGGCATTCTCCTCTGTGTGTCTCTCTCTCTATATGCTTCTCGGTTTCTTATAAGGACACAGGTCATATTGGAGTAAGGCGGGCCCGCCTTACTCCAATATGACCTCATCTTACCTTACATCTTAATTACATCTGCAAAGATCCTGCTTCCAAATAAGGTCATCACTGTGTCCCTGTGCTGAGTAGATTGAAGATACTGGGAATAAGGACTTCAGCATATGAATTTGGGGAAGGGAACAACACAATTCCATCTAAACTCTGATTTCTCAGGTTTTGTAATAGATTTTCTAGTTGCCTTTTGAGGTTCTTTAAATACACCAAGCCATTCCCCCCTGCAAAGGGGTAACAATGTAAATATATTGGCTTTTGGGTTGTCCCCTACAGAGCCATGGCTCAGCAAGGCACATAGGGCTGTCTGACCCTTATATTCAAGTCATGGCTTGTCTGATCCTAAGATGCCGCCTGCAAGTCTGGTTACCTAACTTCTAGAAGGATCCAAGAAACTTGGAGAAGGCCCAGGGCAGACAGTGGCACAGAAGGCCTATTCTCTAAGGGCAGGATAATGAGAGGTCTATGTCACATGGAGAAGTGAGCATGGGTCTCCTCCCACAAGCCCACTATTTTGGCTGAGGGTCACAGTGGCATAAATCCCAGAGAGAGATGAGAAGAAGTGGTAAAGCATGGGGTTGTTCAGATCGAGACTGCAAATAAATTCCAGTAAGGTGTGAGAGACCCATAGCAGTGCCCAAAGAACCCACCTGAAGAAGCCAGGCCCATCCTGTTCTTTGGAGAATCAGCGTGGTGAATCATTACATCTTCTTCCAAAGTTGTCCTGTGTGGCACGCACCACCCTGTTTAGATATATTGAGGTGGAATATGCTTTTGGTTTTAATTTTTGGGAAGCAATCTTTTGATTGGAAAACTGTGAGGGTTTTTTGGTGGGGATAGGGTCCTTTTCCCATCACTTTATATTTCCAAGTCACCTTTGATGAGCATGTATTTTCCTCTAACTTAAAAAAGCAAACGTAGTAAGAAAAGAAGATCAAAAACTAGCTCTCTCAGCTGATACATGCTGTTTTCCTAGCTGTTAGATCTCAGGAGAACACATCATTTTAGACTAATTCAATTTGCCACATATTTCTTGAGCTTGGGGAATATAGGAGCATCCCAGAACAAGTCTCTACCTTCAAGGAGCTTGGAATCTTGAAAGGAAAGCAAAGTTGACATATAGGAGGAATTAAAGAACAGAACAAGGCAGCCCCTGTAAAGTCCCAAGCTTAAAAAAGATGACTGAGAAGGGCTGCGTGGGTCAGGATGAAGGTTAAACTCTTGAATGGCATTGGCACTTGAGTTCTGATGGAAAGGAGGTGGGATAAAGGTGTCTTACTGTGGCCCCTCTTTTCCTCTAAGCCTTGTTGGGTTTCTAGCCCTTTCCCACTGGTGTGGGTATCAGGAAGGGATGGGCAGTGGTGTTACTTTTTGTAGGAAGTCCTCCTAGGGGGCTGTTGTAGCTGGCCCATTTCATTGCCTTCCGGCACTGTCCATGACCACCACTCCTTCCCAGCCAGGCCCTGATGCCACTTGACCATGGAGCCTGGGGCTTGGACCATCCCTGCTGTGCCCCTCTGCTGAGTAGTCTGGAGATCTCCACCATGAAGCCACCTTGCATCCCACACAGGGTCTCCTAACCCAAGACAATGAGCATGACCTCTCTATGGTGTTTTTTGACCTCCGCTCCATCTTATCAATGAGCCACCCCTGAAGCTCTGGCCTTTCCTCACTTCTTAGTCTTTAGTCTCCCAATACCCTCTCCAACTTATCCCAAAGTTCTCACAAGTAGCCAGCATTGTCCCAGACTAGACAGGAGCCCCAGATGCTGACAGGCAGCTCCTGGACAACTCACTCCAGAGCTGCCTTTCTATCTTCCCTGAAACCCAACCTCACTGTTGGATTGTGGGCTTGTCTTCACCAGCAGCTTGAGGCCACACAAGAGCCTGGTTACACTCAACATCACTGTACCCATCTGGGATATTTTCAGTCACTTTTTTAGATCATTGGTTTCTGGGACCCTTCGGCAGCCTTGTGCGATCCCAAGCACAACATCTTAATCTAGGTCATTAGGGACTTGAACAGGGGACCACGATGTTGCCACTTTTTTTTCCAACTGTCTTGGAGTGGTCACATCCTCACTGATCTAAATTCATCTCAAGAGCGTGATTTCTCTCTCATCATGCATTCTGTCTGTGGGAACTGCACCTGCACTTCTCCTTCTGATGCCAGCATCCTGGATGTGGCCCCCAATTCTGCTCCCCATCTGATATGTTCAGTGACCTCTACGACAGTGGGGCACACCCCAGCCAGTGTGACTTCTCAGCTGACTCTGACACAGTGACATATCGCCTACCCAGGGCCAGCCTGTGTATACCAGTAGTCCAACAAATGTGGAGGGCTACCTCTACATAAGTCTGTAAGCCCGGAACAATTTCCAGTAAGCATAACACCGCTCTGCTGTGGGGTGTGGGGAAAATGTGCTTGAAACTGGAGCCTTGCAGACCTGGACACAGAGTCCCAGCTCCATTACTTGCTATATCTTTGACTTAAGCAAGACACATGGCTCTCAGAGTCGCAGTTTTTCACCTGTGAAATGAGAAAAAGTCATACCTTCCCATAAGTTTTTGCAATTAAGTGAGATGATATATACAGAGTGTGAGGCCTCCCGCTTGGCCCACAGTAGCCTCAACAAATGTTACTTAGCTTTCTTCTTTCTGTGATGTCTCCATCTTCAAACTGCACTCATATGTTGCCATCATGAAGATATAAAATTTTGCCTCTTTTTTCTTTTCATGTAATATCTGCCTGCCTACATGTTTCTGTATTTGATTTATCTTTTGCATGGTGGCATTCCATTGGAAAATGAACCATAAGAATTTACTTGGTCGCCTCCCTATAGAGAAACGTTTTCATGGTTTTCAGCTTTTACTTGAGCACATGTTGTTCTGTGCAGTAGTTTCTACAAGATAAACTTCTCCCCAGTGTTATCGGGCGGGCAGGCACATCTTTATGGCACCTCTTCTGTGTTGTCACATCCCCTACTGAAGACTGAGCTGATTCACTGAGCTGTGTCCCTAGTAGTGCATAAGTGGGCTTGATTCCCTTTTGTCATTGTTGACTGTTGATTGATGCTTCAATACTTTTTTTTTTTTTTTTTACTTTTTGACTACAGTCTTGTAAGATTTAAGGTAACAAACAATTGAGGGGTTTGTTTGTTTGTTTGATTTCGTTAGATTAATAGATACCTAGTGGTCTCTCATGGAGACTTTATTTTTCCTTTACTTCTTGATGAGGATCATCTTCAATGATGTGTTTACTAATTTACTAATGCTATTTCCTTGGATGTTAATCACCTCTGTGGATATTGACTTATGATTCTGTACTGATTTGTAAATTAAAGAAAAAAATTTTTTAATTATTTATTTTTGAGAGAGAGACTGAGTGTGAGTAGGGGAGGGGCAGAGAGAGAGGGAGACAGACTCTGAAGCAGGCTCCAGGCTCTGAGCTATCAGCACAGAGCCCAACGCGGGGCTTGAACTCATGAACTGTGAGATCATGATCTGAGCTGAAGCTAGACACTTAAGCAACTGGGCCGCCCAGGTGCCCCTTTTGTAAATTTTGGATAGCATTGGTCGTTCATTTTCATCTTGCAAATTTTTTGTCTGCCATTTAATTTAATGGGAATTTAGTTCCACGTTCCTCTTTGGGAGCTTAAATTTGACATAGTTCAACCATCCACTCTGCCTATGTCATTAAGGACCTGTAGCGGGGAGAGACAGGCCCTGCCTCATGGCCGTCTGTTCTCTGTCCCCAGGTCTGCCACGTGAATCTGGAGGGGCAGCCATTCTACTCCAAGAAGGACAAGCCCCTGTGCAAGAAGCACGCACATGCCATCAACGTGTAGAGAGCCCGGAGCATCTGACGTGGACAGGCGGGGGGGGGGGGGGCTGCTCCTGCTGCTGGCGACAAAGGATTCAAGGAGGCTGATGTTTCTTTTTGGGGGGAAAGGGGGAAGACAGGAAGCTACTGAGCCCTTTTGAAGTGTAATTTTAGTCCTTCCTTCTGCACACAGATCGTGTATTTGCATAGTTCAGACTAGAAGCCAAACGAAGATTCCTAAACCAAGCTAGTAATTAATCCAAGGCTGGAGTTGTAATTCAGACGTTCAGGACAGAATTCCAAGAACTCTAGGGCGAAAAACAAAAAGTCATCTTCTCGAAGTGATACACTTCCCTGAGGTCACTAGAGCAGGGACGGAGCTCGGAGCAGTTATGGAGAATCTGAAGCATTCTGTGGAGTTCTCTGGCAAACAAAATGAAATGCCAAACAGTGCTTGCTGCGGGGTATTTTTAGAGCCATAGCTGAGGGCTTGTTAGCTAAGACCGATTGGGCTTTCCTCACCAAAAAAGGAAGTGTTATTCTATTACTAGCTTCATGGAGCTACCTCTGGGCATCTGACTTGAGACCTTGAGCAGAGTTGAGCGCTCTGAGGGAGTCCAGGCGCCTAAGAGGTGTTTTTTGGGAGCCTCTGGGCCGCTGACTGGGCTTCAGGAAGGCCTTTGGCTCAGGCTGCAGACGGCTGAGGAAAGATGGGCCCTTCAGCCGCCTTCTTTCCATCTAAAACATCCTATGTCCCCAGAAGGTTTAGCTCCTTTTTGAATTTTGATGGGAAAGTGTAATTGGGTTTTTTCAGTCTTGCTCTGCTGTGTGTGAGGGGAGGTTTTAAAGCGACTCTGGGTTGCGTCTAGCCTTTGTTTTGCTTTCGGAAGTTCCTGAGCATGAATGTTCGGTCTTGTGCGTGTGTTTCACTCCCAATCCCGTGACTGCTCACCTGTGAAGTCTTCCTCAGCACCCCTTCCTCCAACAGGCTTAATGCCCTGTGGACGAGAAGTGAGAGACAGTGTCTGAAACGGGACGGCAGGGTAGGCTGAGAGCGTGCCCCAAACTCCGGGTGGGGAGGAGGAAGCTTGCTTTCTGCCAGCCTCAGTAAAAAGAGAAGTGTTGGTGGGACTCCCACCGCCGAGCTGTGCCATCCTTCACAAATGTTCCTTTAAATGCAGCACAGCGATTATGTACAGTTGTGTTCGCTGCTGGAAGGAAAAGATGGACCGATACGTACCCATCTGCCATTTCAGCCAATGGTTTGAAAATGTAGGAGCTGAGTTGATCTAGCAGTTATTGAAGTGTTTATTGAAATAGCCTTGAGTCTTCAAACTTCTTTAAAGTATTAGTGGTAGTTTGAGTTAAGCAAGCATTTTAAAGCTGTTGAGTGATCAAGAGAAGCTTATTAGTGTCTGAGGTTAAAAACGGTACATTCTCCTTCCCTTTAGGACGCACTGTTACTACGCTCCTTGAACAAGGCATTGAAGTAGGCAGATTGACAGGGTGTTTCTCACTTGCACACAATACTTAGGCACTTTTCCAGCTCACTGCTATTCTCTCCTCATTCCCGTTTTGGATTTTCTCTTTGCATGTTTTATGAGAATGCATTAGAACCCTTTTTCTTCTGAGGACTGAGGCTTCCAAGGGACTGTCTTTCTACCAGCGTGTGTCCCTTCTCCCCGAGGGAGAGAGAAGTGGCGGGATGCGTCCCTAGCAGGAGATCCGTGTTTTTTCCCAAGGTTGTCCCTGAGGGAGCATCAGGAGGGATGTGAACATGCTCCTACCACGGAGTCCTCCTTTTTTTCTGTGGTGCCATAAGAAAGTGAATCTAAAAAGTACCAGACAGTAAAATCTGCTGGGAGTGACTACAGATTTTGCAGGCATTGCAAACAAGTATCTTGGAGCATTCTGTTATTTTTGGAAAGTTCAAATATACAATGATAAGGAGGTTGCTGACTGTACGGAAAAGCCCTAGGCAGGTTTTCTTTAAAAAAACAAAAACAAAACAACAAATTTTCATGGACTGGTCTTGAGGAAAGGAAAAAATGTTCCCTAGAGTTTAGTTTCCAAAAATATCTTTTAACAAGGTTTACACACACACACACGCACACGCATGTGTGATCACTACAAAGTACATGATCATTAAGAAGAAAAGTGAAGCATCTCAGAGGAGGACTTCATCATGGTCATTGATTGAATTTTTTATCTACATCTCAGAGCTAGTACAGATTCTGAGGGACTCTTTTCTTTACTAATCACACAACACAAACATAAAACCATTGAAAAAAATTTTTTTAACTTTTATCTACTTCTGAGAGATAGAGAGAGACAGAGTACAAGTGGAGGAGGGGCAGAGAGAGAGGGAGACACAGAATCCGAAGCAGGCTCCAGGCTCTGAGCTGTCTGCACAGAGCTGGACGTGGGGCTTGAACTCACAAAACATGAGATCATAACCTGAGCCAAAGTCAAACGCTTAACCGACTGAGCCACCTAGGCGCCCCTAAAACCATTTTAAAGGTAGGAGGAAAAGAAGGCCATTTTGAATATGGTTCCTTTGGTGTTTGCGAGTTTGGCGTAACTTTGGGGCTAAAGTGGTGTCTATTTCAAGTTAATATCAAAGATGACCTACAACACCAATTTTTAATGCTTCCCAGTGGGGAGGACACTTTGGACCTTCGGTTCTTGTCTCTTCATTGTTGACATTTATTTAACCCTTATAAACATTAACATTAATTTTTGCCATGGAGTGACTTGTGTCTGCAGTGTCTGTGTTAGGAATCTAGCTTGTGTAATGTTAACTGTTTACTCTTGCTTTGGGATTTTTTTAAATTTTAAGATTTCAAAATCCTACATGGTGGAATGTGGTGTGTTCGAGGTGTGTGCACAAAAATATTTTGCATGTTTGGGTTATCATTTTTTCTTTTTTCTTTTTCTTTTTCTTTTTGCCGGTGTGAATTCTACTTTTTAGCACAATAAAGCCCCAAAAAAGAATGTACAAATATAGATTTTTCTGTGTCAAGTTTTTTCACATGACACCAAAAGCAGATTATTTCTATATGGCCACAAAAAAATAATTTGAGACAAAAGAAAATGCCCTGTGGAGAAGAAATGCAAACAACTCACCTGCTCTATTGGCTGTGAAGCCTAATAGTTGTTTTATTGCCTTGTTTAGACAGACAAGGATATGTGAATAATACAAATTTTTTTTACCTACAAAGGGAATTTACCGGGTGAAAAAACACAGTGAGGACCAGGCTTTGCCTTTTCTTTTTGGAAAAGTTTATTTATTTAGCTAAAGGATGATTAAATATTCCATATTTATTTATTTTTATTCTGTTCTAAAAAGGTTGCTCTATTTTCTCCCATACCTTTTCTTTTGAAATAAGCTCAGAGACAAATCCTCTCATGGCATTTGTTTCTTTTTTAATAACAAAGACCTTCCTGGGGATACTATGCTTAACTAAACCAATTCACTCTTGCTTAAGGTATTCTGTTGTCAGGCATTACTTAAAAAGAAAGAGAAGATTTTCATAATTTCTTTGATTTTCTTTAGTACCTCACTCAGATTTTAAAAGAGCTGTGCAATTACAAGTAGAAATAAAATATTATTGTAGTACTTTTTTAAGCTATAGCAATTTATTTATTTATTTATTTATTTATTTATTTATTTATTTATTTAAGTAGCCTCCATGCCCAGTTCGGGGCTTGACCTCATGACCCTGGGATCAAGAGTGGGATGTATAGCAATTTAGAGGCAGGAAAAAAAAAAAGGTTCACAGAGTCATAGAATGTAAAGTTGGAAGGAATCTAAGAAATCCCATGGGCATTTTTCAGATGTGGGAACCAAGAAAGGGGAAATTGTTTCCCGGCATACAGTCAGCTGGAGAGGCAGCCTGGGGCCATGGAGTGAACATGGACTTTGACATAGTATGACCTGGGCTTAGATCAAGGCTGATCTAATACCACCAGAGTGACATTGGGAGAATGTCTCTCAGCCTCCCTGTCTACCTGAAAATGAGGGTAATGACACGTACCCCCCATGTGCTTTAAGAGCCAAATGCAATAACCTGTGGAAGAAATTACAAGACAAATGTTAGTTACCATCATCACCAACAAGAGTGGGGTCAGAACCCAAGACCCTCACTCTTCCTTCATTTTCTTAACTCCTTCAATGTGTCCGTTCAGGAAGAAATGCTTTGGGAAAACAGCAGCAAGAATAAATACTGCAGAAATAGCCCAGAAATATAAACCCCATGGATCAGAATGTATGATTACCTTGTACTAAAATTTCTGCCATTTACCCAGAGGACTTTCTAGACAGAGTAAGAATTGTTTATTCATTTGCTCATTCATTCACTCTTTCAACAACTATTTATTGGGCACCTGCTGCTATCTGCCAGGCACTGCTCTGGAAACTGAGAACATGATAGTGAGTAAAACAGACAAAAAACACTATTCTCATGGAACTTAGATTCTAGTGGTTTGGAATCAGCAAAATAAGATAACTAAATTATGTTGGATTAGTTCTGAGGAGAAATATCTGGCTATTTAAAGCTGCTCTACAGGGTAACCACTGGCATTCATCTGGACTTAGGCTCATTTGTGATAAAGACATGGCATGAAGAATGGGCTCTGGATCAAATCTTAGGAAGTAACTGCAGATGCTCTTCACCCGAGAGAGTCACAGTACACATGTGAGCTATGTAAGGACTCAGTCTCTCAATAAAGAAACCCACCTAGTTTCTTGAAACACAGCATATGGAACGCCAGTCTGGAAAACACTGCCTCATGTTTTGGTTTAGGATTTCCTGATTCTAGTTTTCCCAGGCCAATCCTGATGTCAAATAACTTTTTTCAATGTTCTACTCACACACAACTACTGCAACAACTTGGGCAACGTGTTTTTTTTTTTTTCATATGTTCACTCTTTCAAGTAGTTTTAGATTCACAGCAAAATTAAGCAGAAGGGACACAGATTTCCCATGTATTCCTTGCTCTGGCTCATAGATAGACTTCCCCATTACCAACATTCTCCACTAGAGTGGTACGTTTATTACAATCGCCGAACCTATACTGATGCATCATTATCGCCCGGAATCCACAGTTCACATCAGGGTTCACTCTTAGTGGGTTTGACATTCACCTTCTATGGGTTTGAACAAATGCATCGCGACATTCCAATATCATACACAGTTGCAGTAAAAATCCTCGGTACTCCACCTATTCATCCCTCCTTCGCCCTTGGCCCCTGACAACTACTGATCTTTTCACTGTTTCCATAGTTTTGTCTTTTCCAGAATGTCATATAGTTGGAATCACACAGTAGGTAGCCTTTTCAGATTGGCTTCTTTCACTTAGCAATACACATTGATGTTTCCTCCATGTCTTTTCATAGCTTGACAGCTCATTTCTTTTTAGTGCTGAATAATATTCCAGCAGTATATCATTTCACTCCACCACCTTCAGTGAGTGGCTAGGCTCTGTGATCAGGACAGAGGATGACAATTCAGACAAGGTTCCCGCTTTCACAGAGCTTACACTTGAAGGGAAGAGACGGGCAACATGCAAGTAATATATAACCAATATAATTTGAGACGGGGAGTGCTCTGAGGGAATAAAATGGAGCATTGTGTTGCGGGTGGGGTGAGTTACTTTTGGCTGGGGAGTCAGAGAAGTCCTGGCTAAGGAGGTAACATCTGGGTTGAGGTCTGAATGATGAGAAGAAACCAACCATACCACAGTGTGGGGTAGAGTGTTCCGGACAGAGGGGAAAATAAACACGGAGGCCTTAAGGGACCCATCTTGGCACAGTGAAGGCACAGGGCCTGAGAGCACAAGTGAAGAGAGAGTAGTAGGAAAGGAGTTAAGGAGCACGGAGGACCCTGTAAGCCTCATGAAGACAGGCCAGATAATGCCTTCAAGTGCCAGCCAGCTGAAAGGAGAGAAAATAAACATTTGATTCCGGGAACTCCATTTTGGATAGAAGACTACATTTTACTTATCCTATAATACTTTTCACTTGAATAAATAGTCAGAGCTGTTCGTCAAGCAGTTCTGGATGAGGACGGCAAAACTTGTTCCACGCAGTCGTGCGAAGTCTGGAAACCAAGCCCGTGTAGATATGGCACAGCACTGTTTTCTGCAATCTGGGGAACAGACCCATGCTTGTAGACACACCCATACAAATCGCATACACACATTATTTTTACTTAATTGGAATCATACTGCACATACTGTTCTGAGATTTGCTTTCTTTCAAAAACAATTCATGTTTTAAGTACGAATTTCACAGATCCTTTTAATGTTTATTTTTGAGTGAGAGAGAGAGAGAGAGAGAGCATGTGTGAGAGCATGAGTGGGGGAAGGGGCAGAGAGAGAGAGAGGGAGGGAGACACAGAATCTGAAGCAGGCCCCAGGCTCTGAGCTGTCAGCACAGAGCCCGATGTGGGGCTCGAACCCACAAACCATGATGAAATCATGACCTGAGGTGAAGTCAGACGCTTAACTGACTGAGCCATCCAGGAACCCCTCAATGGTTGATCCTGTTTAAACCTTTATAGGGATGCCTGGCTGGTTCAGTCAGAAGAGCCTGTGGCTCTTGAACTCGCAGTTGTGAGTTCGAGCCCCCAAGCAGGTATAGAAATTATTTTAAAAAATAAAAATAAAATAAACTTCTATAAAATACATATTAAGGGTTATCTGAGTACTAATGATCCCAAGTTAATCTATATGCTGAGCTTGTGGAGTAAATACTGCCATTAATTTTGTTAAGGTCATCAACTACTTTTCTGAACCCTTAGACATCAACATCTTACATGTAAGGCTCTCTTCTGATCCTCAGGTTGATGTATCCAGATTTTTGTTTTGTTTTGTTTAATTTTATTTATTTATTTTGAGAGAGAGAGTGTGTGTATGAGAGAGAGAGTGGCAGAGGGGTGGGGGGGGAGATCATGACCTGAGCTGAAATCAAGAGTTGTAAGCTTAACCAACTGAGCCACCCAAGCGTCCCCAAAGTGCTTATTTTTG